GTTGAGGGCCCTTATCCTATACTCCCCTCCTCAGGGCAAAAATCCCTGGCCTCAGGAATTTCACCACAGGCAGCCTCAATGCCTGCCTATTTTGGAGTTAGCGTTTATTACAGAACGGAGTAAATTAGTGGTTCTAACTGGAGGTGATTCTCAACCCCCTGCTCCCCACCAACCCTGGGGACATCTGGCAATGTCTGGAGTCATTTTGGCTATCACAGTCAAAGGGAAAGTCACTACTAGTATCTAGATGATAGAGATGAGAGATTACCTGCTGAACATCCTATACTGCACAGGACAGCCTCCATAAAAAAGAATTATCCAGCCCCAAATGCCAATAGTGCTGAGGCCGAAAAATCCTGGATTAAATGAAGCTTAGGTATGAAAGAGATCTGTCCAAGGAAGATAAACTTACCACTAAAAAACTAAGCATACTAAGACCAAATGCAATGGGATGGATCTCCCCAGAGACATAAAAAGGGCCTTTACCTGTTTCCCCGGGTAATTGGGCAGTTCTAGAACAAATGTACATTAGAAAAGGAGGGATTTTGAGTCTGGGTCATTTCCCTATTCAGAACAGTCCTTTGAAGGTGGGCCAGTTCTGTCAAGGTGGTCCCCCAGAGCTAGCAATGCCAAGGCCCTTTCCAGAGGTAAAGAATCAAAAGCCTGCCAGGGTACTTGTTTCTCTGTAGAAACTTTCTACCAGGACCCACTATCCCAAATCCCCAGGCCAACCTGGCAGGAGGGTTCTTGTTCATGAACATCTCAATGGCACGCTCATCCTCAGGGTCCACGACCACCTCTGCATGGTGGCCCACTCCTGTCATTGTGGCAGCCTTCTCCAGGGTGGGCCACTCCTCATCCTCATCGTCTGATCCATCCTGTGGCACTCCTGGACCTAGAAAAGGGGAGATGAAATGGATGAACACAGCAAAGAGTGGGTGAGGGATTTAGTCAATTTATGATAACTTTAGCCATTGTGTAGTACAGGCCTCACACGTGCTTGTGACAGATACAGACGTGCAATGAAACAGATGAGGCACATACTATATCTTTCTGTCCCCAGAGATTTGCAATTTTGCTTGAGACACAAAATGTATACACAGGAAACAATGAGAAAGCAATGCTAATAAATAATAGTTAACGCACCATACTTAGTTATGTAGCAGAATTTTCTAAACACTGTACCTATGTTAACTGGTTAACCCTTATAACCCTAAGAAGTAGGTACTATTATTATGCCCAGTTTCAGTGGCGACGTTGAAGCACAGAAATGTTCAGTATTTGCCTGAAGCAGGTAGTCTGGGTTCAGACTGCTTTCTTCACCACTATCCTACGCACAGTAGGGCTTGATTATATGCCAAAATGAGTGCTAGATATAATATTAATATATACACTTAGAAGATGAGTGCTGAGGATGGTTAAGCTCTGGACAGGCAGTTCAGGAGCAGAAGGAGTATGTTCCAGACCTGGGTAACAACACTGGAAAAAGGGTTTAGTTGTAAGTGTCTCACAGGCAATACCAAAAAATAGTGCTAGGTGGGAAAGGTGAAGCCAGACTGGAGGGCCTTACATAAAAGGCAGGCAGAGTTCAGATTTTAATCCGCCAGTTCATTTGAATAAATGATTTTTGGAAGGTTAAAGCTGTCTAGGCATCTGGAAAGAGGTCTAATAATCCCAGTGGGCAGATAAAATGCTACATATGAGTAGGTTATTAAGAACAGAGGAAGTCCAGCCTGAGCAAGAGTGAGACCCCATCTCTACAAAAAAAAAAAATTAGCTGGACAACTAAAAATATATATATATAAAATTAGCCGGGCATGGTGGCTCATGCCTGTAATCCCAGCTACTCGGGAGGCTGAGGCAGGAGGATTGCTTGAGCCCAGGAGTCTGAGGTTGCTGTGAGCTAGGCTGACGCCACGGCACTCTAGCCCAGGCAACAAAGTAAGACTCTGTCTCCGGAAAAAAAAAAAAAAAGAACAGAGGCAGTGTGTGATAAAAGCTAAATAAGGGGGAACAGACATTTTGTCTCTACATGCCAATAACTCCCAAATCTGTACCTGGGAGTGGATTCCCTATCTTCTCGCCAGACCCTAATTCCAGGTGCCTTGTGTGCAGCCGTTTTTGGATGACTCACAGGCATGCCAAGCCTCACCTGTCATCAACTAAACTCATTCTCTTTGAAACTTCCTAGGTCTATACCACTCACGTTTGATTTAGTCAGTCTTGTACTCAAAACTCGCCAAAGCTTCCCATTGCTGTTAGGATGGCTTTTTAAAAATTTTAATTATTATTGGTACGTAATAGTTGTATATCTTTATAGGGTACATATGATGTTTTGACACAGCCATACAATGCGAATTAATCTAATCAGGGTAACGGGGGTATCCACCATCTCAGGCATTTAACATTTCTTTGTGTTAGGAAATTCCAGTTCCCCTCTTTTAGAGGATAAATGATAAGAGGTTGGCTTTAAATCCTGGGCATAGCCTCCAAGTTTTTTGTAGGCTTGGCTGTTACCTACCTCACCATCATTCATTAATCCACTCATTGAGCAAACATTGAATGCCTACTGTATGTGATGCCCTATTATGGGTGCTGGAAATATATCAGTGAACAGTAAAAACAAAAATGTCTGCCCTTATAGAGCTTACATTCTAATTGGATGAGACAAATATAAATAAGCATCACAATACTAGGTTGAAAGAAGATAAACACTATGAAAAAAATACAGCACAGATGAAAGGAGAATGGAGACAGGCAGGGGTGTTGCAATTTTAAATGGAGTGGTCAGCGTAGGCCTCTCTGAGAAGAAAGTAAGCCTACAGGTATAAGGGAACAAACAGACCATCCTAGGCAGAAGGAACAAGCAGGGCGAAGGCCCTAACTTCCCATGTTTAAGAAACAACAAAGCCTATATAGGTGGAGTGGAGAGGATAAGGGGAAAGTGGTGGAACAGATCAGACTGGCAGTGGAGGCAGATCTTATAGGGTGTTGCATGCAGACCACTGTAACCCACTAGCTGTTGAGTGTATTGTAGGGGGTATGAGATATTAATTAGGCCACTGCAATAATCTAGGTGAGAGATCATGGTAACTTGAACATCATGGTATTCCAAGGTTGTGAAAAGTGGTCTGATTCTGGATCTATTCTGAAGACTCATTAGAATTTCCTGACAGATCAGATGTGGAGTGAGACAGAAAGAGAGGAGTCCAAGATTTCTGTCTTGAGCAAATGAAAAGGTATCATGCTACTAACTGAGATGGGGAAAACAGTGGGAGGAGCAGGTTTGGTGAGAAGGTCAAGGTTTCTGCTTTGGACATGTTTGAGATGTCTATTAGACTTCAAATTGGAAATGCCAAATAGGCAGTTGAATATAAGAATCTGGGTTTCATGGACGAGATCAGGGATAGAATATAAATCTGTGAGTAGTCACCAAATAGATGGCGTTTAAACTATGAAACTTGATGACAGCACCAAAGAAAACGTATTTGAAGAGAAGAGGTCCGAGGATTCAATGATAAGAGGTTGGGGACAAAGGAAGACTCAGCCAAGGATACTGAGAAGTGAGGTAGCAGTGAATGAGAAGTGTGATGTCTTAAAAACCAAGTGAATACTACAGGCAGGAGGCCAGTATTCAATTGAGCCAAACGGTGCTTTAAGATGAAGTCTGAGAAATGGTTGCTTAATACTCCCTCCCTACTGAGAACATATCAAAAGTCTTTCAATATATCTCTCTCTTTTGCCCCTAAACTATACTGGTTTTTTCTGCTCAAACACTCCTCATTCTTTTTTGGGTCTCTGTGTAACGGTCATGCAATCTGAGAAGACTGACCCCAAGATTAATGCTATTTGTTTCCAGGAAAATGATACTCTATCATGGAATATATTACTCTAATGGTCTATTTAATTGTCTTTCCTGGGCTTGATTATAAGGTCTTGAAGTCAGACACAAGTCTGTATCTTGTTTATTTCTGTGCCCAAACCATGCAAACTCCGAGCATAGTGCAAAGCTCGTGGTAGGTAGGCATCCCGTAAGTATTCACAAAACCAATGGATAAATGCTATAACTTAGGGGAGCAAGCGATCACTTTCTGTTGGCCTGACTTTGGAGGCACCTAGAAGGAAGTGTCTAAAACTAGGAGTGGGCGTGGAAGGCTCTGGTTAGGGCTCTGTCTCCCATTCCATTAGCTTTGCAAGTGTGATATGGATCCCTTTGCTGATTCCAAGCTATTCCCCTGACGGACAGACACCTTTTAGCTGTCCACCCGATCCCTAACTGACCACTCTCTCTCCCTCGGACCCCTCGACACTCACCCAGACGCGTGGTGCGTTCCCGTGGTGCCGCGGTACTGACCCCACTCCCATGCTCGGCCTCAAGCTCCTCCTGTTGCTGCCGCGCTTGCTGCAAAATCCGTCGGCTCAGCCGCGGCCCCACATACTCTTCCTCCTCTTCTCCAGTTCCGCGACCCCGCCGCTTTTCCCGGGCCCCTGTCCGCACCGCGTCCCCAGCCAGGATCTGCTCGGCCAGGGGTGCATGTTTTTCCTGACCCCCGGCTCCTCGGGCCGCCTTGAATTTGGGCATTTTTCTCGAAAAAGTTGACGGAAAAGTTCACACGTGGGGACGGAGGAAAGGCTGGAATGCGCTTGCGCAGTGAACTCCCAGGTCCCAGGACCCCACGCAGCCATCACAGTGGCCCCTAGCGGTTGGAGGCTAGAAGTGCCACCAGCACCGCCCCACCCACTAAAAGAGCTCCCGGGTTCCGGAGCTGAACTCCCGAATAAATTCATTGTCTTTAATGTTGGTTTCTCTAAATGGTGGCAGTCTGAGCCTTGCTTTTCTAGCTTCATGGAACTAGGCCTAGGGTGCCTACCCAAAGGCGAAGATCCGGAGCTGCAAGCCTGGGGGCGGGACTCAACCGGCTGACGTCACGGAAGGCGCCACCGACGGTGTGCCCAGCCCCGCTTCCGTTCCCTGTGGGCACGTTCTCCCGGCGCTCTGGTTTTACGTATTTCCGGAGCTCCTGCTGCGACCGAAGCTTGCGTTAGGGGCGTCAGTTAATGTGGGCTGACAGAGAACCCTACATTTCTACTGTTTGATCCTGCCACCCTCTGGCCGGACGCCATGGGAGTGACTTGGTAGGATGGCAGGGATTTTGTGGGGGCGGCCTGGGGTTGCGAAGGACCCTCGGAGCTTGGAGTCGCTCCGGGAGGAGGACCAGGACCAAGTTTCGCTGTCCTCCGGGAGCTGAGCAAAATGTCCTCGGGTTGTGTGGATGTGGGGACACTGGGCGGGCCGCGGGTTCTATGGGCCTGTTTCTTCAGCGATGAGCTCCTTCCTCTTGGAGGGCAAAGGTTTTATCACACGAACCTATCAGTGGTTGTGTACCACCTCATTCCCTTTTTTTTGGTACATCTTCCTTACTGTGAGGCCATAGTGCTGCTGGGAGTGGGATCGCAGGGTCAGAAATAGGATTTCTGGACTAAGATAGCAGACAGGCCTGCAGACGGGCCTGGAGAGCGTGGGTGATAGGTAATAAGGACAGAGTATCTTATTTTCCCGATTTTCGCCTGTCCCTCCCCCAGCCGCCAAATGTTGTTAGACCAGCCTGTGTTTGGTTCTTATTTGCTCATTTTAAGATCTTGGATCTAGAGGAAAAAATAAGGCTATTGGGAATTAGGAGATTGTGGTTCCAGGCACTGTACCTGTTCAGGACCTGTTTCCTACTATGTTTAATTACATGATTGGTCTAGTTTCCATGGACTATTTAACATATTACAAGTCTCAGTTGGAAGGTGAGGTGGTGGAGAAAAATATGGGCCCAGTGCTCTTGGAGGTGTTAGTTCCAAGGTGCTAGGTCTCTGGACTTTTTTTTTTTTTTTTTTGTAATCTCGGTAGATGTAAGCATCTTTCCCATAAGAGAAGAAGGCCAGGATATCTGAAGTCACTGGCTATATGCTTCTCATATATTAATAAAAGCATGTGTGGGGGAAATACTTTTCCTCCTGGGTAGCCCAAGCTCTTGCAGGTTTCTCAGCGATTGCACTCTCTCTCAGTTGACATCTTGCTCCTCTTCTGAGTCCTCTAGTGTAAGAGGGATATGTGATGGATGGAAGTGGAAAGGTTGCAGCACAGAGGCTTGGAACCCTGGGAGTCTTTGCTATTTCGATAGAGAAGGCAGCCCAAGTGAAAGGGCTCTCTGTTGACATTCTTACGAACTTTCAGAATCCTGGGATTTCTCTCCCTTGTAACATCAGTTTATTGATTCTCTTATATTTCAAAGTAAGTCCCATCATCAGCATTACTTATCAGTGCTTTTCCTGATAAAATAGTAACAACTTTTCAATTTTTATTATTATTATTATTATTTTTGAAACAGTTTTGCTCAGTCGCCCGGCTAGAGTGCAGTAGTGTCATTATCGCTCACTGCAACCTCCAACTCCTGGACGCAAGCAATCCTCCTGTGTCAGCCTCCCTGGTAGCTGGGACTACAGGCATGTGCCACCATGCCTGGCTAATTTTTTCTGTTTTTAGTAGAGACGGGGTCTCACTCTTGCTCAGGCTGGTCTTGAACTCCTGAGCTTGAGCAGTCCTTCTGTCTTGGCCTCCCAGAGTACTAGCGTTACAGGTGTGAGCTGCCTCGCCAGCCAGTAGTTACAATTTTTAGCATCATTGGGACCCTGCCTTAATAGATTCATTTAGTTGATCATAAAATAATGCACTGTCACCCAAAATTCAGTCATTTATGACTGTCTTCATGATTCTTATATAAGCTAAGTGCCACCTGTACTATTGTTTATTAATTTTTAAAGAAAAAATTTATCTCTTTTTCTTAGAAATGCTGTAACAAACAACTGCATCCCTTGAGAGACAGTCTAGAATAGTGGTTAAGAACATGGACGTGGAGCAAAGTTAATGGGCTTTGAATCTTAGCCACACCACCCATGACCTAGTGCAAGTTATTTAACCTGTCTGCACTGTATTTCAGTGTCCTCATTTGTAACAAGTTGATAAATAACAGTTCCTCTCATAGGGCTGTTCTGAGGATTCGAAGAGTTATTAATAATTCATCTAAAGGCCTCAGGACACTGGCACATAGTCGGTGCTTGACAATTGTTACCTACCACTCTAAAGACGAAGCCAGTTTCACTCACCATACAAGGAAACCTTGGGAATAACGTTTTTGTTCCATGGTTTTGATTAAATTCTTTAAATACTATTGCCTCTCACTTCCAAAGATTATAAATTTGAGGACTGCTTTCTCTTTGTTCCTAGGGCTTTTTTTTTGAGACAGAGTCTCACTGTGTGGCCCGGGCTAGAGTGCCGTGGCGTCATCCTAGCTCACAGCAAACTCAAACTCCTGGGCTCAAGCGATCCTCCTGCCTCAGCCTCCCGAGTAGCTGGGACTACAGGCATGCGCCACCATGCCCGGCTAATTTTTTCTATATATTTTTAGTTGTCCAAATAATTTCTTTCTAATTTTAGTAGAGACGGGGTCTCGCTCTTGCTCAGGCTGGTTTCGAACTCCTGAGCTCAAACAATCCGCCCGCCTCGGCCTCCCAGAGTGCTAGGATTACAGACGTGAGCCACCGCGCCCGGCCTGTTCCTAGGGCTTTTGAATAGAACTTTCTGCAATGATGGAAATGTTCTATATCAGCATTGTTCAATACACTTGCCTCCAGCCATATGTGGCTTCAGGGTACTGTACTGGACAGCTCAAGATCAAAGAGTTGGTAAAAACATACTAACCCCAAACTGAGTTTTTTCTTCCTGATGTAGTCAGACCTGAAAGAATTGCAAAAGGAATCCCTTTCTCATTATATGACACAGAATTGTCGAATGCTGAGTTTATGTGCCATTTTACATGAACATTGGCATACCTGCCATGCTTGGGAAGTTTATTGCCCTGGTACGAGAGTCCTGAGACCTGTGCTCTAGTTTTAGAGAAGCTCTCAGAGACTGTGGGCCTCTATTTCCTCGTCTTTAAAATGGAGTTGGGGGAGGGAGAGGTCAGAACAAGTGTAACTTCTCTAAGATAACTTCCGCCCTGATGAGCTGTGATTCTGTGAGTGAGTGGCTCAGTGAGTGCACGTGTCTCTGGATACTGATAATTTGGTGCTCTCATTTCCAGTGTGTCTCAGATGCCTGTGGCTGAGGGCAAGAGTGTCCAGCAAACCGTGGAGCTCCTCACTCGGAAATTGGAGATACTTGGGGCAGAGAAGCAAGGAACATTTTGTGTGGACTGTGAGACTTACCATACAGCTGCATCTACCCTTGGCAGCCAAGGTCAGTCAGATGGGTCTGAGGATGTCTGGAACTTGGTATGGAGTTCATGTTCATTGAAGTCGTTCTGCTTTTCTGCTAAAGGTGATATTCTTGAACAGGTGGCAAGATGTGTTCCGGAATTCATTATTTCTTGGTCCTTCATCTCTTAGGATGGGGCTTTTTAAAGCTTTATTGAAGTGTAGTCGATATACAAACAGTTATGTACACTTAATGTATACATTTTAATGAGTTTGGGCATATGCATACACCTGTGATACCATCACCACAATCAAGATACTGAACATAACCATCACCTCCAGAAATTCTCTTATATTCTTCTGTGTGTTTTTTGTTTTGTGTCATTTGGACTTTTAAAGCAGTGTTTCTCAGAGGGTTGGTTGCTGACTAACCGCATCAAAATTACCTGGGTTACTTGTTAAAGTTGGAGATTCCTGATCCTGCTTACAGATTGACTGCTGTTGTAGACCTCATGGTCTACATTTTAACAGGCTCCCCAGATGATCCTTATGCAATTTGAAGTTTGAGAAAGGCTTGTTTTAGGCCCAGAAGTCTTTGTATGTGATTCTTTTAGAGCTTTAGAATTTCTAGAACTTTCTGTGTAAAGGCTTCCTATTTCCCATACCTAACCAGTGGCCTTGGCCTCCTCATTACCGTAACTTTGATCAGTGAATCAAGTTTTCAATGTATTGAGTGGTGAGATGGGGTGTGTCTGGTGGTGGTGGTAGGAAGGGAAAGAGGGTCTTTGGATATGAATTAGGGAACCTGGTTCTCTTAGTCTCGGAAGGTCTCTGCAGTAACTTGACCTTGGGCAGTTCCATTGCACAGTAGTTCTGATCATGGAGTAAGACTCCTGAGCCCTGGCTCTGCCACATACTAACTGTGTAACTGTAGGTAAGTCCCACAACCTATCTGTGACTGTTTCCATGTCAGTTATGTGCCAGTTTCCCTTAGATCCATTTCCAGCACTTCCCCTGCAAACTGTATTTTCCAGGCCCTCTTCTAGTTACCTTTGGTCAGTGAGAGACAGTGGGGAAGATTAGAAGATGGGAGAAAGGGAGACAGTATTCCTCTCCCTCTGCTATGTATGGTCTCTGTAGCCATGGCTGTGTGTCCTTGGTTCTAGGTCCCGGGCAGCCCTTGTTCCTGGCTCTGATAACAGCACATCTTCTCTTTTTCCCCTCAGCCCTAGGGATGGTAGTGACTTCTTGTGTTGCTAATCTTTGGCTTGTCTCATCATCCTGTTTGGTTTTTCTCTTCTTCCAACCCCTATATTTGTTCCTGTATTAAATTTCTTATGCTGAAACTATCTGGCATGGGCTCTGTTTCTGGACTCTTCCCAGTACAGTTCTCTGATCTATAAAATGCAGATATTCATAGTACTTACCTCCTAACGTTGTGCTAATTAAATAAGTTTGTGTGTTTTTTGTGTGTGTGGTTTTTTTTTTCAGACTATTACACATGTACAAATGTTTAGATTACATATATTGTCTTTGCCTCTTGTGAGTCAGAGCTACAAGCGTGTTCATCCCCCCCGCCTTTTTTTTTTGAGACAGGGTCTCACTTTATCACCCAGACTGGAGTGCAGTAGTGTGATCACTGCATCCTCCAACTCCTGGGCTCAAGTAGTGCTCCTAGCTTAGCGTCTTGAGTAGCGAGGACTACAGGTGCATACCACCACACCTGGCTAATTATTTTTATTTGTTATAGAGATGGGGGTCTCACTGTGTTGCCGAGGCTGGTCTTGAACCCCTAGCCTCAAGCAATTCTCCCTCCTCAGCCTTCCAAAGTGCTGGGATTATAGGTGTGAGCCATGGTGCCTGGTCTAATTAAATATTTTAATACATGCAAAGCATTTAGAACCAAGATTATCATGTAATATTTAATAAATGGTAGCTAGGAGCTATACTGAGTTCTTTTATCATCATTGATAAATTGCAGTGTTAGCATTTGTTTTGCCTTCAATAAATAGGAAGGCAGAAAGATACTGGTTATGAAGGCATTTGGAAAATAAAACATTTGTACATAGATATAAGATGGCGTACTACTTCTAGTGAAACTACCTTGCGTGGGTTGATTAGGCCCTTACTTTCAAGAAGCTACAGTGTAGTTGGGGAGACAGAACATATCCGTGGCAGGCTGTGGGGTAGAGTGTAAAGAGCAATAAACTTGGGGTCAGCAGGCCTGGATTGGAGTTTCAGTTCTGCTGTTCACTGGCTCTGTGCCTAAAGGCCAGTGGTTCTCACACTTGACCAGCATTAGCATCATCTGGAAGGCCTGGTAATCACAGATTACTGGGCCCCACCCAGGAGTTTCTGACTCAGTGATTTGGGGAGTGAGGGAGGGTAGATGACGATTTGCATTTCTAACAAGTTCCCAGGTGGTGTTGATGCTGCTGCTGCTCTGGGACCCAATTAGCTTCGCTTTCCTCTTCAGTAGAAGGGGGACAGTAACATTGGTTCTGCTTACTTCACAAGGTTGTACAGATATGAAAGGACTTTGTTGTGATAAAAAATATCATTGTCTATAACAACTGAAGTGCCTTCTTCATTTAACAAAAAATACCTTGGTTGACTTTTAAAATGTTTCCAAGGCAGTAACACTTGCAGACTCAACTCATATAGTGTGAATTAAGTATGTAATTACAGTGAGTAGACATGAGAGCAGAATGATGAGATCAGCTTTAGATGGCTTTTTTTTTTTTTGTGGGTCGAAATGTTTTGAACTGGATTAAAAAGGGGATGAAAGGTGTGAATTGGCAGCAAGTAGTCAGAAGGGATGTGGTTTGGAAGCTCTGTATGCAGAGCCTGCCATGTTCATGAAGTGGCAGCAGAGTGGAGGCCTGTTTAGGGAAGTCACAGTGCCCCCTGCTGCCCCACCCCTGCCTCTTTTTCATTGCTACACTCTGATCCATGCTTAGAATGTCTTCTTTCCCTCTCTGTGTGGCTGAATACTACCCTCGCTTCATATCCTAGTTCAAGTCCTGCTTTTTCCATGAAAGTTTTTCCTGCTGACTCTTGCCCATTTTGATGTCTTCCTATCCTGAACTCTTTCCTTCCTTCCAAAAGAATTATCTTTCCTAGATAATCACTTTTATTTTGTGGTCTTTTGATCTTCTTTTTAAAAGTTTTTAGTTTCTTGAACTCAGGGGCTAAGTTCTCTACTAGTGTATCTCTTAAGCCCTAAGCACAGTGCTGGCGTTGGTTTAAGTACGTAATAAATATTTCAGATTGTGGTAGTCTATCCATTAACTCTTGTAGTGTCTAAAAGAGGAATCTTTTCTTTTCTTTTTTTTTTTTTTTTTTTGAGACAGAGTCTTGCTCTGTTGCCCTGGGTAGAGTGCACTTCATTGTAGCTCACTGCAACCTCAAACTCCTGGGCTCAAACAATCCTAAAAGAGGAATCTTGCTTTCTCTTTTTGCCGCCTTGTGTTTTCTACTTAACCAGATATGTATAGCTTTCTCTCCTTCTTGCAGAAAGCCTATAGAAATCAATGGGAAAACTCATTTCTCAGAGACTAGAAGGGATAAGCTGGGCCTCGAAACTGTATCTTCTGGTTCCAGATCCTGAGTTCTCTCTGCTATAATGTGCTACTTGCTTCCCAAGTTGGCTAGACTTCTTAAAATTCTCCAAGCGTTCCCCATTGCCTTCAGGATGAAGTCTAAACTTCCTCAGGTGTGGTAGACAAGACTTATAACAACTTGGCTTTGGCCTGCCTTTTCAGTTTGATGCTCAGATACTCCCCTTGGCTGCTTCTTGGGACCATTTACTAGGTGTCAGAGAGGGAAGAGGTCAACGTAGGTAGAGATGAAGAAACAAGCACCTATTTTATTTGACATGCCCGAATGCTGTTACTTCTATTTTACGTGTTATGTAATATATGGTAATATACAAAAGATTATATGTGAAGTCCATATAGAGTTACTAATCATCATAATTAAGCATCCATCTCTGAGCCCACCATTCAACTGAAGAATTAAACCATTCTCAACACTAGCAAAGTTCCGTGTGTGCCCCTCTCCTTTTCCTGTAGAGCAGGGTGGATTCTACCACATGCTGCGTTGCCTGTTGCTCCTCGCCCTACCTCTTTGGAAAAGGCTGTCAGTGAGAAGATTTCCCTCACCTTCCACCAAGATTGCCCCCCTCTGGCCTTGTTCTGTACATTGACTCTATTCTGGGGTTTGCTGGTGAAAGTCTTGATGACAAGTAGGATCTCTCTTCGTTGCAGGTCAGGCCGGGAAGCTGATGTATGTGATGCACAACTCAGAGTACCCACTGAGCTGTTTTGCCCTCTTCGAAAATGGCCCTTGCCTTATTGCCGACACCAACTTCGATGTGCTCATGGTGAAGCTCAAGGGCTTTTTCCAGAGTGCTAAGGCCAGCAAGATTGAGACTCGGGGCACCCGTTACCAGTATTGTGACTTCCTGGTGAAGGTGGGCACGGTCACAATGGGGCCCAGTGCCCGGGGCATCTCTGTGGAGGTAAGACCTTGGTGAAATAGGAGCAGAATGTGCCAAGAGGGCTGCTGAGCAGAGGGCCTGAAGGTTTTTCAGTCCTTCTCAATTCTACCAGATATTTATGTCAGTCTCATCCCTGATTCCAGAGCATCTGTGCTTTCTCTCTGTGAATCTTTGCCCTTCCTTTAATCATTCAGAGAATCTCTAGCCTAGGATGGGAAGTGGGAAGTGGGAAGCTGGGTTTACAGCAAGTAGAAAGCTTTAGGAAGGCTGGCTTGCTGGAGAAGGGAAGGATAGTTAAGGAAGGTAGTGGCTTATGATGTGGAGGGACCAGTTACCCATCACAAGAAGGACTGGAGCAGAGCAGGACAACTTTTGCAGCAACTTTTGGAAGTTGAGCGCTAAGTCATATGTGTCCATGCACCTCTCCTTAGTATGCTTTAAGATAGGTCCCAAACGTTGTGGTGCAAAAATGTGCCTTTCCTTTTGATATGCTGTCTGCTTTCATTTTGGAAAGGGGTGTGTGTGAGATGACTTCATTTTGTGAGCCCTAAATATATATGTTGAAAATGGTGCTGCATGTGGTGGCTCATGCATGTAATCCCAGCTACTCCAGAGGCTGAGGTGGAAGAATCCCTTGAGTCCAGGAGTTTCAGGCTACAATGAACTGTGATTGCGCCACTGCATTCCAGCCTGGGCTACAGAGCAAGACCTCATCTCTAAAAAAAATAAAATAGAAGTCAATGAAAAAAAAAAAGAAAATGGCAAAGAGGGAGTATGGCAGTAACTAGCTTTGGAACCAGCTAAAGTCTACAGTGTATAATGTGCCCAGTGCTGAGATAAAAATACAAGTAAGCTTACAGGGCCTGCCTTTTGAAAATTTGTGATTTAGTAAGAGAACAAGGCACACAACTATTTATGAAATTAATCTACGAAATGCCATAAAAGAGGCAATTTGTGGCTGGGCACAGTGGCTCATGCCTATAATCCCAGTGCTTTGGGAGGCTGAGCGGGGAGGATCTCTTGAGGCCAGGAATTCAAGACCAGCCTGGGCAACATAGCAAGACTTCATCTCTAAAAAAAATTTTAAAAATTAGCTGGGCATGGTGGCTCATGCCTGAAGTCCCAGCTACTTGGGAGGCTGAAGTAGGAGGATCGCTTGAGCCCAGGAGTTGAATGTTACTGTGAGCTGTGATCAGGCCTGGGTACAGATCACTGCACTGGTTGACAGAGATACTGTCTCTTAAAAGGTTGGGGGGAGGCAGTTTCAGGCCAGCCACTTTGGTTGCGATGCTTCCTGGAGGATCAACATTTAAGTGGGGACTTACAACGTAGAGACATGGGGATAAATAAGTCTAGGAAGCATCCAAGGTAGAGACAAGGGCTCAGGCAGTAGTTTCTGCTCAGCAACCTCCAAGATTTCCTAACCCTTTTCAGCTTGTCGTATACCTTACACTTGCTGGGACCCACTGGGGACCCACTGTTAATTCTGCACATTTCCAACCTTGTAGTACAAACACACACCAGCCATTTCTTTACTTATTTCTCCTTATGGTTACCAGTAATTTCCTCCTACCATCTCTCCAGTGAAAAATTAGGAGAGAGGAATGAGAAAACCTAAGATGTATATTTTTGGGCCCTGTCACACTGGGGCAAATTCTTAGTGCAATTCTTAGGGTCAGAGCCCAGGCTGGGTCTACCTTGGGAGTAATGATTGGTCTTGAAGAGACTCATTTGTCTCCTCTGCCCTCTACTTAACCACCCTCACTTCCGCCACACACACATTTTCTTTCTCTCTCTGTTGTCTCTCTCAGAATTTCCTGAGCTCTCCTTGAATTTTCACCCACCATAGCAGGGGATTACACAGTCCTAAGATAATAAAAAAGGGCCCAGATCTGCCTCTGGGTCGTATAGGGAGGGCTGTGGGTTGGCACACTCCAGGATGAGAATGTCAGAGATGGATGCCTAATGAGTATGATGCTGGGTGTGCTGAGTCCCTGGTGTTTGGGTTGAATATTTTCTGTGGACCAGCACTATGCTAGAAGATGTGTGTCTCTGGCTTAGCGTAGGGGAAGACGGGAACTGGGGGCAGGAGGTACAAGAGAAGTGAACGTTGTCCTTGCCCTCCCTCACCCTCATTCTCTGTTCTTTTGGTCGCCAGGTGGAGTATGGCCCCTGTGTGGTAGCTAGTGACTGCTGGAGCCTGCTGCTCGAGTTCCTACAGAGTTTTCTAGGCAGCCACACGCCAGGGGCTCCTGCAGTGTTTGGGAACAGACATGACGCGGTCTACGGCCCAGCAGATACCATGGTCCAGTACATGGAACTCTTCAACAAGATCCGCAAGCAGCAGCAGGTGCCAGTGGCTGGGATTCGTTAGTGACTGGCAGCTGCCAACTAAGCTCTGTCACCAGGGATACTCCACAGGAGGAGCAGGTGCTGTATTCTTGGGTCCCTGGACCCCAGACACTCAGTGTAGAAGTGGAGACTGCTCTCCCTCTCCAGTTCCCAGCCGTGGGTTTTGTTTTGGGGCTCTGGACTTCCCTCCCCTGACCCTCACACACAGCCCACCAACAGCTGTTTTGCCCCATGCCTTACTGGATTTGGCCTGTTCTCAAGAATGCTAATTATGAAGAATGGAGAAGTTTGGACCTTTCCTGCTTTAGGGGAAAAGGTAGGACAGGGGCGTCCCTGCCTAGTGCTGGTGGGGAAAACAATCTGTATCCCCAAATATTGAGGGTTTGGCTTAGGCCCACAGTGAACATGCTGCATTTGTGTTTGGGCTGTGCTGTAATGAAAGCCTCTCCCTCCACTGAAAGGGTGTGACTGGGCCTCTATCCTGGAGATGGAGTGAAAGACTTGTTTGATTATCATTTTCTGACCTGTTTGTTGAAGCAATTTGTGAATTGACTTTCTTGGGTTATTGCCTGAGTCCTTTGAACTCTTGTTCTGACATCTTTCCCTTCTGTTGTGAATGCTGTTAAGTTGTAAGCTAAACTACTGTAACAGAGAACCAAAAGTACAGTGGCTCTTACTAGATAGAAGCTGATTTTTCTTTCATCTAATAGTACAGAGGTAATCAGATGGTCTAGGGCAGATTTAACTCTACAAGGTCATTAGAAATTTGCTTTCCTTCTGTCTTGTTGTTCAGCACCCCGCACTCCCCCGGCCCCTGGCTCCCTGTTGTCCTTACCCACAAGGTCAAAGTAGACTCATCAGCTCCATGTCTGCATTCCAGTGGGGGAGAGGAGGGGGCGGGGAGGGAGAGACTGAGAGACGGAGAGAACAGTTTCTTTTTTAAAGAATATAACCTGGTGTTGCTTTGAATCACTGTGGCCACATTTTGCTGATAGAGATGCTGGGAGATAGAGCCTCTTACCTGGGCAGTCATACGCCCAGTTAAAACTCAGAGGGTTCTATGACTAAAAGATTTGGAGAATACAGATGCTGGGGTCCAGTTAGTAGCTTCTGCTACATGGAGCTAAATGAACATGCCCAGTGATGCTATTGGCTGTTATTTTGCAGTTCATACCCGCTGTAACTAAGGCATTTGTTTATGAGTTGGCTTGGGATAAGGGCTGATGCCAGAGTTACTTTGAACTCAGCTGGATTAGTCACACTAGGAAGTGAATTCCTTGTCTAAGTCTCAGCATTGAGGCCTCTTCAGTTCTCATGCACCCAGAGCTTAGAGTTAGAACAGTTGATCCTGGTACTTGCACCCCGCTTCATGGTTTCCTGAGCTCTTTTCCTTGTTTCATTTGAGCCTCCAAGCTGCTATTTGACCACATTGCCTGCCTACCCCACTCCTGCTGCAGAAATATTCAACCAGGCTAACCTTGAGATACACAGAGATGGTCTTAGGGATATTGTTAACATATGTATTACAGTGTCATCAAAGATACTGTCACTTATTGAAGGCATCTAAAGAGAAATTTTCAGATCTAAGTGCTCAGATCTAAAGCCTCTGCAACAAGAGTCAGGTACTGGTCCTGTTTCCCTTCTAGCTTTGGCTGCAGGAAGCTCAATTCAACTTTGTAACTATAGGACCTGTCATCTGCATTTTTTGTTCTAACTTCCCCATTTTTGTTGTTCTTTATTTTGTTTTCACTTTTTTATATTATGGTATGTTTTAGGTATCATTTACAATAAAATGCACAGATCTTGTGTTTTTGGCCTTCTGATTTACATTTGCTGTTGTCCAGATTTATCTGTTTGTACTTTTGTGTAGGCTGCCTCAAATCTTTTATGGAAAGAGACAACATATAGGTAGGATTTCGAACATAATATGTTCCTGAAAATATACAGAAGTTGAGTGTGGTAAATATGGACTCTCTAGACCAGGAGTGGGGAACCTGTGGCCTTCTAGGTCCTTA